CTGTGCTGAGGACCCCAGGGCTGGACGCAGCACTCCAGGTGGGGTCTCACCAGAGCAGAGTAGAGGGGCAGAATCACCTCCCTCGACCTGCTGGCCACGCTGCTTTTGATGCAGCCCAGGGTACAGTTGGCTTCTAACCCAAGTATGCAGTGTGGCTTCATGAGAAACCACCAGACTAAATATGCCTCGACTGACTGCCTTGTGTCCTGAGTGAGGGCTTCAGGAGCTGGCAGTGGATTAACACAGAAGAAAACAAATAATAGAAAAAAACATCTGCTGTTGCAACTTAAACAGGCAATCTCACTGCAATGTGCTACTTGAGCAGTTCAAGGAGAAAAGACGGCGAAGTCTGCTACATTTAGCCTGCCAGAGCCATGAATAGAGAGACACGCTATAAAACAAATAGGAGCTCCCTCGAGGCTATGGAAAACACAAAACAAAACCTTATATTCAAGGCACTATAGCAGTTATATATTTAAGGTTGCCTTATGTTCTCCATTCAAAGTTTGTTTTAAATCCTTTAAATAAACATGAAATCTCTCACTGATTACCCCCCAAACGACACCACTTCGGTCAGGACCACGACCTGGTTTTCCCAGCCGCCTGCCAGAACCCAACCCTCGCTCATTTTTTGGTAAAAGAAATGAGTTAAAAGTCAGCCCACTGTGCAATTTTGAGTGTATTATGTTTTTTCAGGCTCCTTCACCTCCACAACGGCAGCATTTACAGCCCTGGAATTTTACACAATTCTTTATGCTGTAGGTCACAGCAAGAAAAAAGAACATTTTGGGGAAAATACTAAAAAGTATTGCATAAAAGCCCGTAGTGTGAATCTCTGCTGTAACTGCTTCGTTTGATCTTTCCTGGTGGAAGCTGACAAAGCACGGGACAGCTTACATTTTCCAGTGGTGCCTGTGTAACTCTGCCACCCAGCCCGATACCTTTGGTTTGCTTTCCAGCCTTTCCACATCTTTCTTCTTGGCTCTTTGCCTTGTGACTCAAGCGTTTCCTTAGCAGAAACCCTCTCCCACCTCCGCCCCAGAAAAGTACTTTATGGTCCAGTTCTGCTACCACTCATCAGAGCTGGGTTTCCTCCTGGCAGACACCAGGCGGGTCACAGCTCAGAGGTCCCATTCCCAGACCCTGCTTTTCCAGGACTTTTCCATTGCAATTTTTTCTCTGTCAGGTGGATCACAGGGAGGGGAGAGGGGTAAGGAAGGGCCTGGAGCTGAAGCTGCCCCAAAAATGGAGCGGGCAGCTGTATTTACCATCTGGCGGAGCTCCCAGAGCTCAACAGAGGGAGCCCCACTCCGGCGAATCTTGCTGGGATTGCTACGGGTGGAGAAGAGACTTGTTTGTTTTTTTTTTTTAATAAATAAATGTGCACCAGGAGAATCTTTCTCCTCTCTTCCTCTCTCCTTTCATGCAAACATTAACTTAAAGGTTGTGCAAAAGCTTCTCCCGTCATTTCAATCACTGAGAATCAAGAAAATCAGTAGCTGCAACACCACAAGCCACTTTGGCAGCGTCAGCACACAGGCTTCAGCACTCAAAAAAAAACAAACCAGAAAAATCTAAAAATGAAGGAATTTTTAAATTTATTTTTCAACCTAGGGTTGTTCAAGGACCACGCTGGGATCATTCCACATTGGGAGTCTCTGAGGGTGTCAGAGTATCGCAAGGTTTGAAAGGTGAAACACGGATGGTTTTACAGGGCCACTTCCAGGGTTTCCAGGGAGTATGGGAGAGGCAGTAGAAGACAAATGACCATGAAGACCATCTGATATGGGAAGGGGATGAAAAAGTGGCCACACTAAGAGCCTTCCTGCCTAACAGTGATGGTGGCAGGGAGGCTTGTAAACTGAGATGGGTGAATGATGAGAAGGCAGCCTTAATTCTTATTTCTGATGAAGGCAAGGATCCAAAATTCCTATTTAAACCTTAACGCTTCTGCAAAAGGCAGCGTTTGATTTGCTTACACTGCTTTTGCTGTATGCTTTATGATAAATAAGTGTGGTGCCTAGGAAGCACCTCCTTCTGTTGTGTCTTCCTCACTGCACATGACCACAGAGCAGAGCCCTGCACTATAAAACTGAAAATATATCCTCTGCTTTCCCCTTGTCCAAAGTTTTCATAGGCAGCTTTAAAAAACATACTCGTGAGAACTTTCTGAGGTGGTATTAACAGTTTCATAAATACTATATTACCTGAACTGTGCCTTCCCTGAACTGACAGGGCGTTTGATAAATGCACCGTGGGCTGCATACACAGTGGAGCTAAAGAACATGTTTCCTCGGTAGCTCAATTGTAAACTTCAATAGGTGGATAAATTCCCATGTCACTAGAGAATATTTACAACTGAACCTTATTTATCAGCAGCGTGCCCTTACCAGCACAAATGCTATTACACAAAAACGGCTATGTCTCTTTTCTCATAGTTACATGAAAATCGCAGAGGTTTCTTTTGCATCGGGACAGGCTTTATAGCCAGTGAGATGAAACTGCATTAGGAGATGCTAATGTTGAAATATTCTTGGCTCAAAATGTCAGTGTGAGAGGAGTTAGCTCATCCACATCTGTGCCGTGTGAGCAGCTTCCTCGCCCCTTCGCTGTCGGGGACCTTCTCAAGTGAGAGCACATTGGGGCTCTCCACGCTCATGGTGTCGGAAGAAATGAATGCGCCAACCCACTTGCCAGGAATTTAGAGAGATTACTTCCCCCCCGTTTGCTGCGATTAGTAATATTAAAATATCTGGTATCCATTAAAAATGAAAAATCCGTGTTTTTAAATCACAGAGTTTCAGCTCTCTTTATAAAAAATGCCGCTGTGGGTGTTATTTTCCCCAAAGGAGCACCCTTTTTTTTGGGATGCCTGCCCTCTCCCTGGCAGGACTACAGCGTCCCAGCCTCCCTGTACCCTGCCTCCGCTTTGCCCTCCCATCCAGGTCCCTCGCCCCAAAATGACTCACTAGCTACAATTTACCGACACACACTCTCTTCACAAAGATGATTAGGAATCACTGTCAAGCCTTAGTCCCACTGACAGTACGGACTGGCACCTTCCCGCATGTTAGCCAGCTGACTGCCAGAAGGGCTTTAATCAGCTCAGGCTTTGAGGAGTGCCGGGCGCTCAGAGGAGAGGGCTGCCCTGTGCCTCCTGTGGCCTCACCGTACTGAGGAGGTCAAAGAGCATCTCGCACTCCGAGGCTGTGAGTCCTCGTCTCCTCCGCGGTGGGAAAGGTCCCCCCCCGCCACCGCGCCAGGCTCCCATTAGGAGCAGTTCAGCTTCTCCCCCAGCTGGAGCAAACCTCCGCATGTTTTGATGTTAGGAAGCAACGGCAGTTGGAGCAGACAAGGAAAACATCAAGGAAGATACAAGGCTTCATAATGCAAATCACGCTTTTATGTCATTCTCCCGAATCCCCTTTGGGGAGAGGAAAGTTGATTATCTACAGAATATGGGTCAAAGTTATGCCTTAAGGATCTTTTGGCGCTTTGGCTGCTTGCTGACATAATATGGGGCTCCTTGGTGCCTTTTCAGGTTAATGCTTTCAAAGTACTGTCCCTGTGCATCATCATCATCATCATCATAACACTACTAAAAAAATTCATTTCCTGCACCCACTCCCAGGAGTTTCTCTCATGCTGCATTTAATTGATGCTTCCTCCTGCACTCTGAGGAATGATTAAAATGAATACTACACATGTTTGGAAGCACCTTGGATTTCGAACTCTGCGTGGTTTCTAATTAAAGGGACACACACAGGATGCTCGTGCTACATTTCACTCCTCTCCATGGCTATTATTATTACATACATTTCAGCAGTAGTCAAAAGAATGTCCTCTGCCTCACATAATAGGATCCTGATTTAGACTGGATAATCACCGGTCTTTGATCTGGGTGAAAGATGTCTTTAGGAAAGGAAAAAAAAAAAGGCTTGAGATGTAACTAGCCTTCTGACATAGACACTGATAAGTGTTTGAATTTCTGGCTAACCTGGAGTATGTAGTACCCAATGTTAAGCACTGGTGCTAACAAAATACAAGAAAAAAACCCAAGCAGCTAGGAAAAAACCAGCATAATCTGCAAGGATGTATGTGAGTGATGAAGCAGCAGCCCTGCTGTCTGGGTGTCAAGGTCTCTGCCGCTACAGCCAGCTGCTCACTTGTTTTGAGGATTGTTTTGAGGATTGTTTTGAGGATTGACTCTTCTCCAAGGTGAAGAGAATCTGACATCAACAAAGCTGCACAACAAAGCTAATACTCCTGTTTTTCTGTAAGAAAATATGGGACTGTAAACCTCAAAGGGGAAAATATTTCACATATATTTGCTACTAATATAAAGCTAGCTCATAAACCTCATCTTGCAAAGCTGTACAGTAATTTTCAAAACCGCAGCTACACCTCGCTAGATGCAATGACCTCAACGTTTTCCAAGGCCTGCTTCTGACTTTGCTTACATGAATGTAAATAAATCAAGAGCTCCCCCACTGACCATAATGACAGTATTCCTGATTGTCACTGTTGTGGCAGCACAGTCAAGTTCTGTGGCAAGTGACACCAGGGGAAATGCTATGACAGCAATCCTATACTGCATTGCGTGCATCTTTTACCACCTAGTAATATTTAAAATATGGGATGCATTTGCTTTTCGAATGTCTTGTAAAATGCTACATGCTATAAATAATTCAAACCAATAATAAGGGGATGCTTGGGCATTTCTTTTTCAGGTTTGAGAAGGCAACTGTCTAACTTGGTGGAATAAACTGTTTTTACTGAAATAGTTTTCACTGCTGATAAAGAAAGAAGTGGCTTACAATTAGATACACTGCATATTAGCAACAGAAAAAGACTTAACAACAAAGCAAAATAGTGCTGGTGTATACATTTTTATTACTTATTCATCTTCTGTATGGTTTTGAATCCCTTCAAAATAGAATTGAAGTCCTGTGCCTCTACCCTGGGCTAAAGCTATAATCACTGGGATATTGTATAAAATAGGAGCACTGGCTTCTCCTCTGGCCACGTTATAAAACTGAAGAGCATTTTGCTTTTCAAAGACAGATTTTAGACACAACTTCAGGAAAGGATTAGTGCATATCTCTCAAAAGGAAGAAGAGACTTTGGCCCCTGAGAGGGGCAGAAGTGAGACATACTCCCATCCTCAACACTTCCTTAGCAGCTAAGTCAGCGCACTGGCTTCCCCTCTCCCCTCCTTCAGCAGGCTAACACTTCGGGATCCCAGCCTGCCCTAACTCTTTTTGCTGTGTCATAAGCCTAGGTGACCATTTCAGGACAGTGGATTCTGGCATGGGAGCGAGATACTTGCAAAACAGGCATAACAACGTTGAGCTTCTGGGGTGAAGTATGGAGTTAAGTATTGCTCGGAAAAAAGAGAAATGTACCCTGAAAAAGACTACATCCTGTATTTCCCTGACATCAAAACCAATTAAGCTTTGTTTCCCTGCTCGTTATGCTTAATTATTCCATCATACCACCTCCAAAAAGCTATTCATAGCTACATGTGTCATGTGATCTCAGCATATCTCTGAAAACGAAAGGTTTGCAAGTACATTTTGTGAAAAAGCAGCAAGCAATTGGGGCAATGTGGTCAACTGGGCTCTCTCCGAGACATCTCCCCTTTGTGGAGCTGTGGGAGAAAGCTGCAACCCCCTTGACTCTCTCAGCAATGGGACCTAAAGAAAAGAGCTTGAGAAAGAACTGGCCAAGGGTGTGGTTTTATGATACAGGTGAGCCCATCTTCAGACAGTCTCTGCTGGTTAATGTGTCTGTGGGTTTAGCTCCCCAAGCTGACTCCTCAGACTGTGAGATGAGCACAATGTGCTGCATAAGGAAGGCAGCGGGACTGCACACCCGATGGGAGGGCTCAGATGGGAACCAGAACCTTTTTCAGCAGCAGCCCCCAGAGGGGCTCTATAGGCTCAGCCCAACCCTCAAACCACAGCTTCAGTATGACGGTAAGTGATAGCTCCAAGTCTGAGAATGAGCTCTGGATCCCTCACTTGAGCAGATGGGAATTACTGTGCTGAATTTCAAAGGAAGGGAATTTAATTTCCATATGATGCCAGTGCTTTCTTTTCACCACCTCATCCCCCCTGCCTGCCAGAACCTCGGCTAAGGAATTGTCCACATCCTGGTTTGAATGTTTCTATGGAGTCAGAACTTGAAAGAATATGTCTGTGCTCAGAAATTATGCATAAGTCCATTACAGCAGAACAATAACTCAACTGTAATTGCCTAGCAGTACAGGCTGGAACAAAGCAAGTATGAGCAAATCCAGAATCTGGGTAAGCATGAGAAAAGTCAAGAAATGATGGACAGAGACCCTTTTAAGACCACTGGACTCTCACATGACTGCTGAATCTAGTCATCTGCAATCAACAAGAAACATTTTCCTCAGGTTCTCAGACAATTTTTCTACATGCTCCAGTTCACTACGGGCAACAAAGCATCTCCCAAAGCTCTCTCATGAACTTAACACCAAGTAGCAATGACCAGAAGTTGTAACTCTTAAGCGGTAAATGAAGAGAGCAGGAGAGAGTAGAAACATTGGCAGTGTCCTGCTACTGATGAAGGAAAGGAGTTCAGCAAAGCTTGGTAAGAGGGCTTGCACACCACATGAGATGATAGATACCAAGACAGATTGAAAAACACATCACCAAAGTACTCTGCAACCTGAGCGGAGGAGAACGCTTCTTTCTGACCACAGATCTAAAGCCTGATGCAAGCTGGAGCACATGGCAGGGACATAGCAAGCAGATACTTAGTACGACTCTGAGCCCCAGAGCACCCTGATCTGCGTCCTGGCGCTGGATGTGGCCAATGCCTGATCCTTGCAAGAATGTCAACCCCCCATAGAAGCTTTTTCACGCAGCTTGCAAAAGTCCTGCAGCATGAGTTGAAGGCAATGTTAACATGATGCAGTGTGACAGTAGCTTTAAAATCCCTTTGGGCATACCAGTGTAGCAAATACCTAATGATTCATACTTCTAGAGCACTAAACATGCCGTTACCCCTGCAAGAACCTGATAACTGCAAAAATCCCCAGATAGACAGGAGGACTTCTCAGCTAGTGAGATCCTGTAGCTACTAGATCAATGTCTTCTCACACAGGTAGGAAATAAGAAATTATGTCTTCAATAGTTGAAAAATACAAATTTCTCAATAGAAAAAAGGGGGGGAAAATTAAACCCAGTTCGAAAACATTGCACCGAGAAGATGTCATCCCCTCAATTTGAGAAGATGTCATCCCCTCAATTTGGTCTCCACTATAACAGCTGTTGACTATTTTAACAGGAAAAGTGCAAGAAAATTTGCAAACTTGCTTTCAGACAAGGTAATTTCAGTAGAAGTTGAAAAGTGCTTATGACAGTGGAAAGATCCTGTAGATTGAACTCTAGAAAACAATTAATCTGTGTTAATGATGTCCAGAGGAAGTGACAGGAAATGCTGCTTAAGGAAGATCAAGCCCATTTTACCCTTGAGCAGATATTACATGACAGGGCAAGAGCAGCTTAAGATATTCCCTTCCATGTTTGCCAGTATTGACCTTGTTCAGGCAAATTATCAATCTTGGCATCTCCTCTGAACTCCCGTCATTATGAGTGCACACACACCCTCAGTGTCTCATATGCATACATTATCTACATGAATTAAGCCAACTTGCATTTGTACGCTGAGCAGCTGGTCTGAAATTTACTCCAGAATATATATTTCATCTCTTCTCAAGTTCTGCCTCTGCAGGGGTCCCTTCACAGAGTCCTCTGAGGACTCTTAGCCTTGTTCTACCACTAGCTTGCTGTTGAAAGCCTGTGCTGAAGAATTATTTCTTTCTTACCATTAAATAACAATGTGCAGAAAAACACTTCTAGAAGTTAATTTTGCATGTTACAATACAATATGGACTTTCACTCAGGGTAACTGGCTAATTCACTACAGGCACCATCCAGAAAATTTGGTAATTCCTTTTTCTGAATAAGGTACATTCTTGAGAAATAAATGAAATTTTCCCCAAAAAAAAAAAAAAAAAAAAAAAAGTCCCCAAACCATACATGCAGCTGGGATTGCTTATGAGTGAAAAATGTGGTATCTTTATAGCCAACAGCATATGTATTCAGTACGCAGATCTACAAATATTGGATTCACTGCCAAAATCATTGTTAAGCAAACTGGCTGACTCTCTGCACTTTCCTAAGGAACCAGAAGGAACCTGCTGATGAGCAGGAGACAAAGTAGAGTACTTTGCAAAAATTTCAGATCATGGATTTATGGTGTGCACAGTGCAGTGCCATCTAT